CCCTCCCTTTTCCGAATCCTGTATCCGCCCCTGCAGACAATGAATATTATGTGGAAGTAAATAGGGTGCTAGAGTGTTGTAGATCTACATATAATCTACATACAATAGCGTGCTAGTAAAACTGTATTGAAATAATTAGTTATGGAAACCAATTCTATCAATATTTCATAAAAGCTTTGACTTTTTCAATCAAAATGAACAAAAGTAAAACTAGCTTTCAGTTTCACTGAAAGTATGAATCTACTGATCAGTTTTTCAAAATAAGACACAAAATAATTTGGAATAACATCGATTTGAGATAAGGAAATTCTATATTACTTTTGTATTATCTGTAAGATACGAAATTAAAAAAATGTGGCTTTTACATAAAACGAACAATTGTTTTAGCAGCGATATACCTAGAAACTAGTGTAAATATACTTATGACCCTACCACAAATGTACACAATGTAGTATCCTCTTTATGTACAATATAAACAATTTATTCTTATTTTTTTTTTAAATAGGTGTTCACCTCCGGGATACGGCTGCAACACGCCCTGCGAAAAATTCCGCGATGACGACATCTCAGATGACTTGCAGTGTATCAGGAGAATCTTCAACGAACACAAAAGAATATCGGGCGATGGCTTTAACGCTTGGGTCGTTTATTCACTTTATTGTAAAGGAAACAATTCAGAATACATTGACGGATGTTCTGAAGGAACCACCGAAATACCTAACCTAACTATCACCGATGAAAACGAGGTTTCTAACGAAGATGAGTTTGGTGACGGATATGAGTTTCCTGCTCTACCAGGACAGGCCAAAGTATCTTCTAAAACTGCTAAAATGTTGCCATTTATAAAGACATCGATACATGATTTTATTTCTGTTGGACCAAATAGAAATGCATTGGAGTCTGTGTATTCGAAGGTTTCCATTCATGACTTTGTAGCTCTACCAAATGATAATGAAAACGAGAAAATTTCTGAAAAACCTCTATTTTTAAAACAGTCAATTCATCATTTTGTACCAGTATCAACAGAAAAGAATGTGGAAAAAAATGAGTTTGAGTTTTCTCTATTACCAAATTATTTACAGGATTATATTAAACCTGTTATAACTACCACTAAAGAACTAAAGAAAATTACTAAACAGGAATACATAAAAGCAAAGGAACATTTTGTTTTCAATATTAAAAGTAGTAATAAAGAAAATGATGCTTTCAATAATAATTTATTAAATAAAAATTTATACAAAGATATACCATTAGTAACAAATAGTTTTAAGATAAATAACAAACAAAGTCTTGCAAGTAGTATTGCTACACCAAAAGGTAATTTTGCTTTGAACAGCAATACTATAAGAACAAAGATATCATCTGTTTCTAAAGATAATTCTGAAGATGTAACATCTGCATTCTCAATTCAACCTTCAACAACGTCTGGGATAGAATTACGTTATGGACTAAAATTGGAAAATAATAGAAATAAGGTTAAACCTAATCAAAACAGTTTTGGTTTTACCAAAAGTACTTTGGAAACACCATTTGCATCAAAATTGTTGAGCACATCTCCTAAAATTAGTACTCTGTTTACAACCACCCAAAAACCTTTTTTTAGATTGAACAGTATTGAGGCTGAGACTAAAATACCTACTTCAACACCAAAGTATTTCTTTAGAAGTACCACTGTAAAAAGAGACATAAACCAAGATAAAAATTCTGATCATGAATTTCAAAGTTCAACACACAGATCTATTTTCTATACAAGAAAATCAAGTGTTCCAGAACTTACAACAAAAAGAAATACTTTTTCGACTGCATTTACTTTTAAAACACCAAAATCAACTACAGAGAAATTAAAAGCGTTTGAATTTATTAAAGCAGCTCCAAATTTATCTAGTTATAGAGAGAATAATTCGATAAATGTATTTAGTCGGTTTGGATTAGATCACGACATCATTACCACAACCATTAGACCAATTTCTAACAAACAAAAGTTTGGTTTTATTACTACTACTACTACTCCGTCTTCTACAATAAGTTCGTTAAAAAGACTAGAAACAAAACCAACACCTGATCCAATACGTTCAGGAAAACAACTGACTTTTGCTCCCGGAACGTTTTTTGGTCTTCAAACCCTTCCTCCCGCTCTACCAGCTAGACCTGTGAGACCGCCTGGTCAAAGACCAACCCCACCAACTCCCATGAGGCCCATCAATCAAAGACCAAATGCACCAACAAGGCCACCTAGACCTCAAGGACCTCCGGGTGGGCCTAACAAAATACCGGCTCTTGGTGCGATGGAAGAGGGTCCAGTTAGACCTGTGAGACCTGGTGGAGGTCCGAATAGGAGACCACTGTCACCTCCGATGCGAATATCTGAGCAAGGTTTTCCTGATAGACCTAATAGACCTCGACCGGGAAGTAACACAAGACCATTTGGTGGTAATGTACCCAATAGAGCTAGGCCTTTTGGAATAAGAAGTCTTGGTAGTAAGGAAATGGATGAATTTGGTGAGAAAGAACAAGGTGGTGAAATGGACGTGAAATCTGTGACTTTAAAAGGGGATTATGCGTTCTACAGGACTCAATATGGATATAAACTATTTAAAAATTAAGTTTACATTATTAAATTGAACCCATTTTATAGGAACTAAGATTAGTTTCTATATAAATTTTTTAATATTCAAGATAAAGCTTGCAGAAATATAATATATCTATGATTCAATACCGTTATCTTAAATAAGTAAATATTCTTCAGATGTTTCTTCAAAAAGAACGCCTTTGCCAGCTGCATTTACTTTTACAACATTAAAATCAACTAAAGAGAAATTAAATGCTTGAATTTATTAAAGCAGCTCCAAATTTATCTAATTATAGACAGAACAATTCGATAGATGTAATTAGTCGGTTTGGATTAGATAAAGGCATTATATTACCACAACCATTAGACCATTTTTTAATAAACAAAAGTTTGGTTTTATTACTACTACTACTCCGTCTTCTACAATAAGTACGTTAAAAAGACTAGAAACAAAACCAACACCTGATCCAATACGTTCAGGAAAACAACTGACTTTTGCTCCCGGAACGTTTTTTGGTCTTCAAACCCTTCCTCCCGCTCTACCAGCTAGACCTGTGAGACCGCCTGGTCAAGGACCAACCCCACCAACTCCCATGAGACCCATAAATCAAAGACCAAACGCACCAACAAGGCCACCTAGACCTGAAGGACCTCCAGGTGGGCCTAACAAAATACCAGCTCTTGGTGTGATGGAAGAAGGTCCAATTAGACCTGCGAGACCCGGTGGAGGTCCGAATAGGAGGCCACTGTCGCCTCCGATGAGAATATCTGAGCAAGGTTTTCCTGATAGACCCAATAGACCTCGACCGGGAAGTAGTACAAGACCATTTGGTGGTAATATACCCAATAGAGCTAGGCCTTTTGGAATAAGAAGTCTCGGTAGAAAGGAAATGGATGAAATTGGTGAGAAATAACTTTTTAGGTCAAAAAAAGTTAAAAGGACAATTTGTTCCAAAAAAGGACTGTCCTTCTCAAAAAAGGGCAGGTGGCAACCCTACTTCAAGGTCTCATACTTTTCAATAAGCAAAGGTCTATGTCGATATTATTTAGTACTATCACAGATTAGGTATCCTATAAGTATACAGATAAAAATCTTGTCCTTAATTAGTGGTACGAAAATTGTTTTTTATGACGATGTGCAAACGAGTCAAATTTCCTGTGCGCAAAAATAAACTCGCGTAAAATATCAATAAACAGCGTAATAGAGAGATATCGCTAAACCGAATAGCGTGCATGGACGTTAATAAGGCCAGGTGTTATTTCCTTTACGTGAGGTGGTATTAACTCTCTTCATTTATAGTTATCGGATCGGAAAAAATTCTGATCGCGTCGCGTCCGCTATTTAAACTTAACCTAACTTTGAATTTAAAACTTTGAAATTGTTTTGTTTACTAGGTATTTTAAAACTAAAGGGCTAAAGTGCTTATTTCCAGTGCTTTATTGTTCAACGTCTGCCAGTGGGTTTAGTGCAACAAGTAACAAATTCTCTTAGAAGGGCTAAGTCGTCATCTGCTGTAAACCTAAGACTCTTTATAAGTTCTTTAGTATTGGAAGAGGTGGAATCCATATCTTGGGTCATATTTATTTAATTAAAACTAATCCCAGCTACTTTAATATAAAATTACCTAATAAAACTAAAGCATTAATTCAAAATAATTCAAACACAACTTAAAATAAAAGATCTCGCCGGCCGGCTCCGGTTGTCAAATACTCGCACATGCCCATTTAAGCAATTTTTAAACGTTATCAGAGGTTATTTAGAAAGAGCGCTTGGTGTAATTGATCCACAAATTACGTCAGGCGGTAACGTTATTAGCGGGTGTTGCGTTAAAAATTGACTCATGCATATCGTAACCATGATAAGGTAGGTACGCGTAAATACAGGATGACGCTATTCGGTTTTCCGATATATCTCTAATAACTGTGCCGGTCAGGCGCTGTGCACAATTTTAGAGGCCATAAGTGGGCGTGCTATGTGCGCAAACTAGTCACCTAACTAGTGCCCGATTCCGAAAATTGGAACCACGAAAAACAATAAAGAAAAAACAAAGATTATAATCTGTATAATCTGTGGTACTATCAATAGAACCATAAATAATAAAATATTCAAATCAGAATTATGATAATTATACTGACTATGAATTGAGAATATTTAGTGTTAAAATCATGTTAAAAGAATAGACAAATTCGATCAAAATTACAATAGTGAAAAAATTGTGACTATGCAAGCATTTATAGCTTGCAGGTTCACTAAAAAACGGATATAGATATTAAGAAATGATTAATTAATTAATTACATTAATTAATATTGCAAATATCTCCTATTGTATATCTGTATTAAAGACTGATTTATGTTTATTTGCTCAAGATTAGTGTATCTAAATTAATTTAGTTTAAATAAGCTTTAATATTTGCTGACTGTAATTTTAAGGAGCTCCCGCATTAGTGTCGTTTCCACATTTTTTATACGCCGACGAGAAATATATACAGGGTGTCCGTGGGATTAAGCCCAACAAGACATTGCACGAAACCTACATCGTTTTGGAACCGGTAAGTCAAGAACAATATAAAAATTCTCATAAGTATAGTGTCTTCTACAAAAAAACGCTCGATCATATACACAATTTTGATCATATTCTATCATTATTATACAGGGTGGCGCACCTCATTCGCCTCGGTTAATTATACAAAAACCGAAAGATGTAGAAACAAAATATTTTATGCGTATATTTAGGAAGACAATCTGCATAATTTAAAATTATTTTGAAATGTACAGGGTATGTCAGTACAATGTCAGAACTAAGATCCACACTAAAATTATATTTTTTATGGAAAATCCGGTATTTTATTTCATTTTTGGATTGTAGGACATAAAATAGGCATTTGTTATAAGGGTTTAATATGTCTAAAAGCTTTGGTTTTTGAGATATTTGAAGATATTTAAATAAGTATGCTATATTAAAAAAGTTTATTAACACCATGTAATTACTTTTCAGAATTAATTCTTGTGCTGACTTTTAAGCCAGAGAAATAAACTTTACTAATAAATGCTTTCTTAAATGTATACAGGGGTATTAAAAATTGCTACCCATCGTAAGGTAACAATTTAAAATGCCACCTATAGGTAACTTAACGCCGTTTTTGTTCAGACATACAATAGATATTTCAATATCTATTGTAATAGTAATAATTAAAACTGTAAATAATTAACAAGCAAATTGTATTTTCTGTTATTTTTTGAATGTCTCTGATCTGTCGAAATCTGCCTTATGTCGTTGGACAAACTTTAATTATTTTACAATGCTAATATAGTTTTTTATTGACAGATGAGCGGAATTCCACTGGCTTTAGCGAAAAGAGTACAGTTTAACATGTTTATAAGGCCTCTAGAAGGCATATCAAGGCTAGAAAATGTCACTCCTGCTCTGGTTCCAATTTTCTGGATAGAAGAAGTAAGTTTTTAAAAAAATGTATTGCTAAAAATTTCTTAAAACATCTAATAATCGATATCTTTGGAAATAATCTTAATTATCAATTATTTCATTCATTTAGCTCTTATTTAGTTATTGCAATAGATACTAGAAATCAGTGCCGTGTTTATTTGTTTTCTCCTGGTCGGTGTTAATTAATTCTAGTGGCGTAACAAGGGATTAGGAGTTTGAACCTCTCTCATTAACTGTTAGAAATTATCCAATTTATTATTAGAGTTCGTTATATTTAGTTTCGTTTCTAGTGCATTCTAGATAAGAATAAATCCTTATGTTTTAATAATTTTATTTCAACCATATGATCGAAAAAAAAGGTGTCAGGGTTGTAAATGTTATCGATTGTCATCTCCAGACCAACTTGACGCCCTTATTTTCGACCATACGGTTTATACTCATCTGAATTATAAGAGCAGGGTTGCCAACTTTCAAAATAAAAAAATAGAGGACGAGAGGGTAAAAAAGAGGCACAGGCGAAAGATTTTTTTAAACCTTCCCAAATGTCTAGTATTTACTAAAAAGTTATGTCAACAGTATGGAATTGATGGTCTTTCTTATTTTCTTAAAAAAATTATACTGAAAACTTGTTATAAAACAAATCAATTTCAACAAAAAAAATTTTTGTTGAAAACTAAAACCTAAGCTAACAAAACATAAGCTAACAGTAAATAAACAAAAAATAGTTAAACATGTTTATCGCTTCTACAAATATTTCTATCATCTTTCTTTTCACTATTAAAAATATTTCTTCATTTTCCTTTCTGTATAAACGAGTGGGAGTAGCGAACGACACAGATTAACAGTTGTTTTTATATAATTTAAGCATTGTGGCGATAGACAAATATTTTTTTAGATTTTAAGTTTGGTATGTAAAAAAGGGGACTTTTTTAATGCGCGAGAGAAAAGAGGACAGTGAGATCAAAAAGAGGACTGTCCTCTGGAACAGAGGACGGTTTTTCTTCTTCTTCCTGTGCCTTGTGCTTAGCCCCACGTTGGCGATTGTCTGTACTCTTCATATAATGTGTAGAGTGCCGTTTTCGGCTCTTCGAAATATGGTGGCTGCGTCGCTGATGTTACACCAATCCCGTATGTTTCTTAGCCAGAAATGTTTTTCTTCCTGGGCCTCGCCGTCCCTCTATTTTTCCTTGTAGAATTAGTTTAGGAATGTAATATTTGTCTCCTCTAAGGATATGGCCGAGGTAGGAAACTTTTATTGCTTTAACTATATTAAGTATTTCTCGTTCATTTCGAAAGCCTCGATGCGGTTCATTGTTCTAGCTTCTAGCCTTCAGAGACCTCGTTTCGGACTACTACCCGTAGTCTAAGTGCTAGCGGGAGACTGCGTGCTAATAGGAAGTTTTTAAGTTTGAAAAATGTAGTTTTTACATAATTCGTTCTAAGTTTAACTTCTTTATTGCAGTCCTATTGTTCAATGATCATGGCACCTAGATATTTAAATTGTGGTACCCGCTCTATAATATTTCCATCCACCGTCAATGCGGTGTTGATTATAGGCTGGCGTCCTATTACCATAAGTTTGGTATTGGTAGGGTTGATTTTAAGATCGAAACGATTTCCCATATCCTCTATCTTATTTATTATTTGCTGGAGATCCTCTAAAGTTGGTGCTAGGATTGCCGTATCATCTGCGTATCTTATATTGTTAATTGGAACTCGGTTAATCTTAATTCCTCCACTTTCTCCTTCCAGGGCCATTTGAAATATTTTTCGACGTATATATTAAAAGGTATTGGTGACAGTATACAGCCTTGGCGGACTCCTTTACACGCACATTGAAGGTGTCTGTGGATAAGCTTTTGTTAACTCTTATCTCCGCGGTTTGGTTCCAATATAGTTCCTGTATGATTCTAATGTCTTTGGTGTCTATTCCTATCTCGAATAGTCTATTTAGGAGAATATCCTGTTTAACGTTGTCGAAAGCCTTCTGATAATCTATGAAGCATACAAAGACATCTTGGCGTTGATCATAATACTTCTGGATCAATTACTTGATGAAGCCGAACTGTGTCTCTCCGCTCTTTTCTTCACATTTCGAGTATATACGAGCATGCAAGACTCGAAGAAAAAGTTTCGGAGCATGACTCATTAGACTTATAAGTCTGTAGTCACTAGTCACTACAGTCTTTTGGAGATGCTTTAAAAGGAAATTCTTTTTTGGAAATTGTTATAAAAGTTGATTTTAGCCAGTCGTTTGGAATCGCCAGTTGTTGAAGGACGGTTGGCAACCCTATATAAGAGTAACATAACAAAAGCCTATAATAGTATACATCATATTCATAAATAAAAAATATATTTACACACTTACTGTGGAATACTACTTAATATGGAATTTTTAAATTAATCAATAAGTTTAATATCTGATATCGAATTAAACAAATAATTATAACATTGTTATCTTTTTTTTTTCAGTCAATGACACTCAGCGGATCCTACTTCGATCTACTGAAGTATACTCTGTTAAGAAGTTTTTTTATATTAAAAATTGTACGTTGGATTTTGTTAGCTATAGGATTAAGTATTGTCCTCTTTTCAGTTTTTCTATTTCTCAATTTTAAATAGGTTTTATTTCTGTGATATATTTTTTTCGACGGATTTTGTGTTGTTGTATTTTAGTATTTTAGGCTAAAAATATTAAATTATATAAAGGGTGTTTCTTAAATAAGTTCAAATATATTTAGGGGTGGTATATTGTGACCCCAGGAGCATGTCTATGGTTTTTTTTTCACAAAAAAATGAAAATTTGGTATTTTTTGAAAAAAATTTTGGATATTTTTTTAATTTAAAACATTTTTTGGTAGTACCCAGATTAAATTTCAGTGATTCTCAAAATGTTTGTAATTATTTTTTTTGAAATTTTCAAAGTAAAATAACTCAACTATTTGAAAAGCGGTAAAGGGAAAATATGTCTCTTTTATAGGGATCTACCAGCCCTGAAATCATTTGCACTTATTTAAGACTTATTTAAGACCCTGAATAGTATAGCTTGTAATCGAAAAAAAATAGCGCCAAGTTATCTTGGAAATGACGATCGATGATACTCTTTATATAACTTTACATATAAAATGACAGCGATCTTCAATTCCAGGCCAATTCTGAAGCCTTTTATTTTCGATGGTATATAAACAGAACAATTATTCGATCATGTTAATTATTTTAAGGCACTGATATACTATCTAGTGTAGAAATTGTACTATTTTAGAAATAAAGGATTTATAGTAGTACCCAGTATGTTTTATACATTTTTGGTAATTTTAATTAATCCTTTATCCCAGAACTTTCTGCACAATTGTATCTGTTTTGCATCTTTTCCTAGAAGATGCAAAACCTTGTTGTTGGTGGAGAAGCCCCTAGTCAGGTGTTAGGGAAATCCCCTCTGACACTTTGGCTGGGTCTAAGGAGAATCTCGCTGTCTTGTCCCTGGCCGTAGTGTCGAGGTCAGTGAATTCCACCAAGACATACAGGGTCCGGCAATAGTGCGTCGGGCATCTGTAGCTCCTAGAATAAAAAACTTGGGAATTTTGTTTAAGTGCAAACCTAAAGTATGTACCAGGATGTATTTCCGGAAAATATTTTAACTTCTATAGGGTGGTTCAAAAAAGTGTGAGTGGATCTGGATGACTTTTTTAAATGGAACACCCTGTATATTATTGCATTTTTAGCTACCTTTTTGCACCCTATAGAAGTTAAAATATTTTCCTGAAATACATCCTAGTACATACTTTAGGTTTGCACTTCAACAAAATTTCCAAGTTTTTTATTCTAGGAGCTACAGATGCCCGACACACTATTGCCGGACCCTGTATAACGATGCCAAATGGCACTACCACAAAACAGATATACAGAAGAAGTACAACGGCCTGTTAAATATTGGAAAGTGAAATTGACGTTTAAATTTGACAATGTTGACAAGCCTACTGCTACTAGCGCCCCCTATATCCCTAGTAGGAACTACGGACTATATTGTCAGGTATGGCGGGAAGTTTAAAAAAATAAAAATTTTAATTCTTTAGTTATTTTTAATTATGACATACATAAAAACACAGAAAATGCACATTTATTTTAAAGATATGTTTAATATCAATGTCAAATATACTTCAGAAATATAATTTCTCCACAAAAAATTAATAAAATTAAATGAATAACGTTACAAGTACAGATCAAGAGACAAAATAATTTATATAACAAAACTGAAAAAAGGCGTTATAGATGGCTTAGAAATGAAGATATATATCATAATTTTGAAAGTAAAATTATATGGGAAATGTCATCAATCATCATGTTTTCCTGTTACCTAAATCAGGAGAATGACAAAGAGCATGTTAAGATGAAAAAAATAGTATGTACACATTATTTATCAGCACTTACCTGCACGTTAATCCGAGAAGTTTTATCAAAAACCTATATTTGCTTTATCAAAAACCTATATTTGCATTATCAAAAACCTATATTACACTGTATTAAATTTGCAAAGCAAAGTGCATCGTGTAAAGAAAATAAATAAAATGGCGGCAAGTCAACGACCCGACAAGGAGAAAAGTGGTGTCCGAATGACAAATTATGGGTCACCAAAAATTGTTTGTCTCCTTTCAACGCACGCTTTAGAACGAAAAAGAGATGAACTCAATTACTGAAAGTTCGTCAAGGTTTACTCTTGTCAATAATTTATCGGTAAGGAAGATTTCTAGAAAATCGCTTGAAGCCAAGTTTTGAACCATTGCCAGTTCTCCTATAAGAAGTGTCATGCCTCTGGGCACTACTATCTCCATCATATCAGGCACCCTCTACTGTCTGTGGTTATGTCACATGGGCAGTAGGTGTGGGGGTTGGATCTTGGCTTAACCGCCCGGATCAAGAGGAGACTAACCAACCTCATCAAAAACCTAAATCCTACGATGGCGGGACCAGGTCAACGGGATGCGCGGCTACATAGAAGCCTCTACTGGTTTCAACTTCCGGGGCACCCCATTGAATTTACCACTAACTTCTACATGACGAGCTCTGTAGAAGTGAACCGACCAACCTTTGCAGTGAAGCTGGAGGAAAACCCCTTAGCAACACTGAGAACATTAGTGCAACTTCTGTAACAGATTATTTCCTTTATATTATTATTTATTTATTTTTTTTTAATTTCGCAGTTTACTGGTTATGATACGGCGCAGATCGGCCAGCATGGCAAGATGCTGCGCTATGAGCCTAATCCAGAAAGTGCCCGACAATGTTGGTGGCGTCCAGCACAACAGACTTCTGCATTTTATGGTAAGTGTTATACGGTATCGATATTATTTTTAAATGTTCTTTTAATGTTTTAGGTATCAGACCCATCGTGGATAAGATCACGGGTACGATGAAGACCGATTCCATCCGCCACATAGCTTTAACTTCTCTACGGAGCTCAGCATACTTGGTAAGTTTCTCAGTGTATTTCTGTTTTAGATTGTGGTTGTTCGGTACTGATATATCTATCAAAAACGCTTTTTTCTCTTGCTTTAGAATAACTGTTATATCTGGTCTGTTATGCTCCATGCGTTTGTCCGTGATTATATCTTTGTCCCAATATATTTTTGCTATATCGTTCTCAACCACCGGCACGGGGACATATTTATAATAAGGGTTTTCGTTCACAGGCTTTAGATTTTATAGTTTGAGCAATTCAAGATATACAATAGTTGCCACCCTATTATGCCTTTCAAGGTACTTCGTATGAGCCAGTACAGAGCATGCCGACAATATGTGCTCTACAGTTTCAGTACATTCATTGCAGCGCCTGCAGAGGTCGTTGGACATTTGTTCTCTTAAAATGTACTTCCTGTAATTTTTCGTATTGGTAACATTGTCCTGGATACTTTACATGAAACTCTCTGTCTCTGGATATATTGTACCATTCTTAAGCCAATATAGTGAGTCTGCTCTATTAACTTCTTCTCGTTGGAGGTCATTGTAAAATCTCCCGTGCAATTCTTTCTGTGCCCAATTTTTCAACTCGTCTTTGACATTTTGATATTCTGGTTGTATCGTTGTTGACTTTAAGTTTAAGGGAGTGTAGTTATCGTCAGTGTTTACGATAGCACGGTGTAGGTTTTCAGTATGGTTATGAAAGTAGGTTCTAAGATTTTTTATCTCAGTGGCACATACATTATGTATATTTAAAATACCTCGGCCACCCAAATGCCTAGGAAGCATGAACCGATGTTTTGATGCACGTGGATGATGCATTCTATGTTTCGTTAATTGTACTCGAACATTCCTATTAAGCTCTTCGAGATCAGTTTTAGACCATGCGATAATGCCAAAAGAATATGCAAGTATAGGAATTACATACGAGTTTATAGCCTTCACTAAGTTTTTGGAGTTTAATTTAGTTCTTAAACGGCCTTCAGTCTTGCATGAAATTGGTTCGTAAGAGTTTGCTTCATCTTTTTGTGTTCCATCTTATTTGTCTGTAGAAATCCCAGATATTTATATGGGTCCCCGTTGGTCCCCATTGCTGAAATAATCATGCCGTCGAGCTCTACTTCAGGTGCATTTACAACTTTGCCTTTATGAACATTCACTATTTGACATTTGGAAAGACCAAATGTCATACCAATATCTTGACTAATACTATGGACAACTTTCAATAGATCTTGTAGCTGAGTGTTGTTAGAGGCATATATTTTCAAGTCGTCCATGTAAAACAAATGGTTTACTGTTTCAGTTACAGTAGATGCTTTTAATTTGTATCCATGTCCTGTTTCTTTTATGGCATTAGATAGAGGATTCAATGCTATACAGAACCATAAGGCACTGAACGAATCGCCCTGGAATATTCCCCTACGTATTTTAATATCTTCTGTCTCGACGGTTCCAGCGGAGGCGCGAATAACTAGCTTGGTGTGCCATTGTGTCATTGCGTGCTTCAAGAAGGTTGAAAGATTTTCATTGATTCCGTAAATTTTAAGCACGTGCATTAACCAGGTATGAGGGACAGAGTCGAATGCCTTTTGGTAATCGATGTATGCCATGTTAAGATTTCTGTTTTTCTTTCTGGAGTGTTCTAGTACTACTGCGTCTATGGCCGCCTGTTCCTTGCATCCCCTTGCTCGCTTTCTGCATCCTTTCTGCTCTGGAGTTAAGATGTTGTTCTACTCAAGGTAAGTAAATATCTTGTTTGAAATAATAGCTGAAAGTATTTTGTATAAGGTTGGTAAGCAAGTAATAGGACGGTATATTGAGGGATCATCATAGTTTTCATTCTTCGGGAGAAGGTAGGTATATCCTCTGGCCATAAATTTTGGCATTGTTTCTGGTTTTTGAAGGATGTTGTTGAAACACGTTGCCATATATTCGTGTAGCGATGAAAACTTTTTAAACCAGAAATTATGTACCCCATCCAGTCCTGGGGCTCTCCAGTTTGCAAGTGTGCTAACGGTATCCGAATGTCCTTTTCTGAAAAAGTTACTGGATTCATTTTCTTGTCTTCGTACTTCCTCGTCTCCTCCGCAATCCATGTTTGATGTTCGTTATGTTTGGTATCCACGCCCCATATACCAGTCCAGAATTGTTGTATAGCTTCAGGGGTGGGAGCATTTCGAGACTCGGGCTTTTTACTTTTATCAAGATCCCTATAGAATTGTCTCTAACTTTGTCTGAAGCGTTTGTTGTCTGTTTTGCGCTTGTGGCTTTCCGTATATCGCTTTAATCGTTTGGTTAATGCAGCTAATCGCTGCTTAAGACTGTCAAGGTAATCTATGTTTTATTTATATTATTAACAGATTATTTCCTATGTCCTTTAAGTTCAAGTCGATGTTTTCGGTTGTTAGTTTCGGGAGAGGGTCTTTTTAACAGGAACTAATAAAACAAACATCTTTCAAACGTGAATATTTTTAAATTCCCAAACTTATAGAAGGACAAATCAAATAAACTGTAGAACTTAGAAGTAAACAGAAAAATTGTAAAGATAGACCTTAGATAAAAACGCTGGGACGTTGTAAAACCAATAACCACCCTTGATAACATGTTTAAATATCGCCGGATGTTTGTAAAGGATCTGTGAACTTTAGAAAAGCACGTACCTAAATGTAAATGGCGCCAAACGAGGATTAAATACGTAAAATGGTCATAGTACTGCCATCTAACAACGGGAGGTCGAACCAACTTGGTTTGAAGGGCGGTGTCAAGCTGACCACTCAAACAAAGAACAGTACCTTTAGGGATGATCCTATTGGCTAAGTACCGAATGCACCACCCTTCAACCCTGTAATGTTGGAACCGCGGGGCTGTTTTTAGGCAGAAAATTTAGTTCGGTTGGAGTTTCTAAAAGAGACGGTTCTCCCTCGGGTTCGCGAAACACGGTAAAGTTCACGATGTGACCCCCTGTAGTTTTTAAGTCTGGTGTCTGCTACTAGTTGTTTTTTTTAAGTCCTTTTGTCAAATATTCTTAATTTCAGTTATTAAAATTATTTTAATGTGTAAGATCTAGTAATGAAAGGTGCAATTGATTAGGTGATTATCATATTTCTCAATAAAAGCAGACACCAGACAAATTTCTTGTATTTTTCCACATGTCATTTCTATTTTTAGTAGTAACATACCTATAACTGCAGCGATCATATATATTCTTTTTGTTGTTCTTTATTTTTTTAATATTAAATTTAAATGTTTTCCTGCAAACTCGGCCGTTTTATTTCTATAGTAAAAAATTACTAAGTGTAAAAAAAGTATAAAAGTAAGATCATTATGAACGAGCACAATATCGCCAGAGCCGTCCAGAAATGAGGTACAGATTTACAGACAGAGGTTGGGCCGCAATATTAAGGTAAGTTATATAGTAGATTTGAGTAACTAACATCACTAAGACAAAGCATTAAACATACGCCCCAAAGAGTCGGAGTATTTTTAATCCAAGTTTGCCTTCCGCTCAACTTAATTGTTTTTTTATAATTATAAAATAGTCACGCTACCCATAGACAAGTGATTAATTCGAAAATATTTGTAACACTTCCAAGGGACTCAAACCCAAACGGAACTACAGGAGACGCAGCTGACACTTGCGCGAGACCAGCCTCCACAAGTGGCACACAAGCTACCACCTCCTCTAGCATTCGTTTGATCAATTGACATGATTTGTTCAGTTTAGACTGTCATAGTAGATTCATACCAAATGAATTCAAGTGATTTGATTACTTGACTTGATTCGTGTAAACACACCTGAAGCTGAGAAGTAGAGGGCAACCAGAAAATATGTCTCATTTGTCAAAATCTACCATCTCTTAAAATCTTGCATTTATTTGAGAGGCACAATGTGTATATTTATTTAAAAACTTTTAGTTAGGCAGATACTTTATTATAAGAAATAATTATACAGTAAAACAATGTAATTAAATACAATAAAAATAGTTCACAGAAATAGTCATACATAATTTTACCCATGACATATTTTTCCTGGAACAAAAATATTTTAGATATTTGTTTAGTTTTATCAGTTATTTTACATCCAACTGATCAATGGAAAATATTTTCTAAGTATATTTTTTTTTAATCATTGTTTCACTACATGGAAAAATTTATTTATTTACTCAAATCAAATCATTTCGAACAATTGCTTGTTTAAGTTATCTACGTTAAACAAACTTGACTTGTTTTTTAAAAACAATTTTTAAAAATATACGCAACAATTTGGACCTAGGGCCGATTTCCTCATAATCTTTAAAATGTCAAAAAAACACTCGAAATTATCGTTATGATATACTGGTATTATATTCACTGGCGCTTCACAGGTAGGTTATACCTTTCATATACAAGGTTTATACTAACAAATAGATAAATTAAAATAATTGATATAGCAGTTTAAATAGTTTATATCTTTTAATAGTTATCCACTGTGATCAGTAGTAATAATATTTGTTTAAATTATTTTATAGACATGCTTTTTTTCTTACTAAATTGTGATTAATTCCTGTTATATATTTAAACTAGCGTGTACCCGCGACTTCGTTCGCGTCGAATTAATCATTTGTAATGGCGATGATAAAGCAAAGCAAGAAACATACAAACTGGATAAAATTTTCTCACATTTATGTCAGCATGAGAAAAAACAATATGGCGATATTATTATATAATTTGGTAATATTTGAGGGGTAGTTTCATCTCGATGGAATTTGACTTTCGAAAAATCCGTTTGCCAATAATAAGCTTTTTACGTCAATCAGTTTAAGCAGAATCGTGGTTAATCAATTACCCAACTTTTTGGAACACCCTGTATGATTTTTTTAAAAAATTCAAAATATGTAAAAAAATAAAATAAATTATGCGTGTCCAAGCGTTTTCCCGAAAAACTAACCGTTTTTTAAATAACAAATATTGTAATATTTGAGGGGCGTTTTCACCCTCTTGGAATTTGAGATTCGAGAAACCCCTCCTTATCGAACCTCTACACCCAACAGTCAATCCGTTTGCCAAAAATCAGCTTTAAACGTCAAGCAGTTTAAGCAGAATCGTGATTACTCAATGGTCATATTTTATGAAACACCCTGTATAAATTTTTAAAAATTTTTAAAATATGCAAAACAACAAAATAAAATATAGATGTTTAAGAATTTTTCCGAAAAACTCACCGGTTTTTAAATAAAAAATATTCTAATATTAGGGGGTGGTTTCACCCTATTAGAACTCGAGTTTCGAAAAATCCCTTCTTATCGAACCTCTACACCCTAAAGTCAATCCGTTTTCCAAATATCAGCTTTTTACGTCAAGCGCTTTAAGCAGGATTGTGATTAATCAATGACCAGATTTTTCGAAACACCCTGTATACATTTTTAAAAAATCTTAAAAAATGAAAAAAAAAACAAAATAAAATATACGTGTTTAAGCGCTTTTTTTTTCGGAAACTTGACTGTTTTTTAAATAAAAAATATTGTAATATTTGACGAGTGGTTTCACCCCCTTGGAAATGGAATTTCGAAAAATCCCTTCTTATCGAACCTCTACACCCTAGAATCAACCTGTATGCCAAAATTGAGCTTCGTACGTTGAGTGGTTTGAGCAGGATCGTGATTAATCACTGAGTCAGTCACTTATGGATTTTATATATTAGTATAGATTTGAGCGGTGTGGAAGGCATCTGGGCTTTGATATTTTTGTCAGTTTTTGTTTTTAACTGGTAGGTAGTATATTTGTACCCAAATGTTGTACCCCAAAAACCTGCTCATGAGTTTTTTGCAAAAAAATGATAAACATTTTTCATTTTTATATATTTTCATGTAAATTAAAAAAACTCTTTAATTCCTCAGTTTTATTCTTCTGAAATTTCTTGACGGTGTATTTTTTGCCCACTACAACCAACAAATGAATCTACATGAGGATTATCTTTATTTACTTACACAGATAATAATATACAGTGTGAGATTTAAATAAGCACAAATATTTTCAGAACTGGTGTACAAAAAACCGAAATAATTTACTTTGAAAATTTTGAAAAAAAAAAGATTTTTCGTTTAAGTTTTAAGAACCAAAAACATCACATTCGTGTTTCTCGGGTCGAAATCGAGGTCGAAATATACTACCCTAACAAATATTTGCACTTATTTAAGACACAGCCTGTATATTTAGGGGTATTGACTACATTAGGGTATTGAATTTGCACTGAATGCAAGAAATTTTTGTTTGTCGATAATGAGGTTAATTTTAAATTATTTTTTACTTTAATTTCAATAACACACCTATTGTTATATCATAGTACTTTTAGTATAAAGTACAACATATTTTAGATAAGAATGATTGTATTAGCATCATAAATATCGCATACTCATTGTTGTTGCATTTTAGAAATATCGTCACTAACGTATCTATAAATCATTTCATATTTCAAGATCTCAACTTTTATCCCATTTCTGTCAGTAAACTATATAAAATATATAGTATATAATTACAGTCGTCACACCAGTGTGATTAATTTATATATTATAAATACCGTATGATCGAATAAGAACGGCGTCAGCGATGGCTATGAAATGACGAATCGATGACATTTCCCATATAATTTTACATATAAAATGACAGCGATCTTCATTTCATAGCCACCGCTGACGCCGTTTTTATTCGATCATACGGTATATAAATTATATCATAACGATAATTAGAAATAAATATCAGTGTAATGGAATATTTTAGAGCAGACACAAACCTAGCTTGTTAAAAGTTTGTCTACGCACCTAACGATCTATGGACAATTCTAGAGTTCTTTACCTGCCGGTATAAAAGCCGGCGGCCGTGGCCTACAGGGGGCAGTTATAAATATACAGTTGACGCGCTAAAATTCAAAATAAATTCTTAGTTATAAATCGTTTGTAAATAGTTCTATAAGTCTTTTATCGTTATTATTTTTGTTAATTAGTGTTAAATAAATAGTGTTTAAATAAATTGTGACTTTCTATCCACACGGAACCGACGAAAAACGTAACAATTGGTGTCAAGTGTGGCGTGTGATAGACTAGTAAAATAAAAAGACAGA